GAACGAGTGAATTTGAGATAGATTCATTATCTTATCTCACTGCTATTTATCAGTACTAAATACTTACCTTCATCTAATATGAATTCGATTAGTACCATAAGTGTGTCCCATTATTCATGTAATAGTCCAAGCCTTTCTTATATAACAGCTTATAAACTTTTAGTCTGCTTTGAAGTCACTTTATGGATTGCTAAATGGAAATCTTATATAGAATGACTAAGTAGGTGATGATAGAAAGACTGAAAAATACGAGCACCATACCGTTCCGTATTTTCTATCAGGATTTTCCCTCATAAATCAGAGGGAGCCCTCTGACCTACAACAGGAGATTATCTTATCTCACTGGAGAACATTTCAGTCACACCAAATTAGACTTAACAGTCAGTGGATACATTTGATATTTTAATCATAAGAAAAATTTGTCATTTTACATTAACGTAGCTGCTGCCTCTCTACAGATCCCATGCAACACCAGAAACTCAAAGTCAACTCCATGGTGCACAATTGTTTAGAAGTATTGGTGGGAATAGAAAAGAGGGTGTACACAAAAGAAATAAAACCCTTTAAATTACTTCAATATTCCTTCTGGAGGGAATCATTTAGAGAATTGTAGCATCAGAGTCAAGATTTCTAAAGAAAAGACTCTACAGACAAAGCTAACAAAAACTCATTTCATATGCTCCAAGTTTACCATGTGTTAGTCTACTTTTTTCTCCATAAAGATGTTTCCATATTTGGCTCCCACTAAAACACAATTTGGTACAATGTAAATTCAAGGAACCTTGAATTTAAGCTGCTTAGGGCAGAAATGTAAGTACATGGGGAAACCAAATTTCTTCCATAAGACTGTCTAGGCATAGGGATCCCATCCTGCCTGGACGTGACAGCAGGATCAGGGGCCTTAGAATCCTTGTGTGTGTTATGCACTTTGGAAGATATCTAGGCTGTAATTTATATATTAATTTAATTAAATATTTTCTAATGATCTAAATATTAGATAATTAGAATATCCTTTTAATTTTTCTCCAACATTATTTTACTGTTGAAACGCTGTCAAGTAGCATATGTTAAATACACAAATATTAAGAACATGAGTGAATTCTCTGATGCTAAAATATTACCCTAATACAGATGAATCAATATATTTTTCTGTGTACAAAAAAAAGGAACAAGCTTTCAGCAATAGAAATAGGGTAATGGGTAAACTACAGTAATAGTCTGACTAATTAAAAAAAATCCACACATCTTCCTGTGCCATGAGGCAGACACATTTTTCTGTGCTCATAGTAAGTATTCGATCCAATAGCCCCCTGAAGGATTTTTTTTAAATGGCAAAGACAAAGATATCCAAGACACAAAAATATGGATCTGTAAGTACAGGCGAAGTGTTTGGTTTTTAAATTTTTACATGGCACTTTAAATAGCAGCATTTCACCAGTATGTCTGTGTTTCAGAAGCTATAGTTTAGCAAAAAACCCCAAACTGGTTACACACTGCTAAGCACTATGGTTTCCACATACCATATAATGCAAAAACAGTTTAATCAATAGTTATTTTGGGCCTTCTGAGATTCTTTCAGAAGGACAGTAGGACACAAGAGTTGGGAGGAGACAAAAACACAAACTGGGGCAAGTGGGGCTAGTCAGATGCCCAAAGGCATTTTGGAGGAAGTAATCTCCAATATGCAGGTAGTTAATGTTACAACTTCTTTATCCACCCCTTGGCTAAACGAGGCGAAACAAAAAAGTGGTTGTGATAGATTTTTTTTTAAACTAAAGAATAATATTTTAAAAAGCCAAAGTAAGGTAACTGTCTGACACTGGTATGGGACCCCCAGTATGCCCCCCTCCCTTCCCAAAAGCACAATACATAAAACAATGATCTGAAGCCCATTCTGAATAAACCTAGAGGATATGCAAACCAACCTGCTTTCACTTGAACACTATCCAATAATCTTCACTGCTACTCAATGTGCTAGTATTTAGCACTATTTATTGCAATATGAAGTCAGGAGGAAACAAGCATTTGCACATACAGGCAGTCCCCGGGTTACGTACAAGATAGGGACTGTAGGTTTGTTCTTACGTTGAATCTGTATGTAAGTCGGAACTGGCATCCAGATTCAGCCGCTGCTGAAACTGACCAGCGGCTGACTACAGGAAGCCCGAGGCAGAGTTGCTCTGCCCCGGGCTTCCTGGAATCAGCCGCTGATCAGTTTCAACAGGCTGAATCTGGACACCAGTTCTTACATACAGATTCAACTTAAGAACCCCAGGCGTCCCCAAGTCAGCTGCTGCTGAAACTGATCAACGGCTGATTCCAGGAAGCCCGGGGCAGGGCAACTCTGCCGCGGGCTTCCTGTAGTCAGCCGCTGGGCAGTTTCAGCAGTGGCTGGATCTTGACGCCCGTTCCGACT